CCAGCTCTGAAGGCAGCGACATGCCAGCAGCAGCATAGAAATAAGGGTGGCAATGTGAAAAGTGATGTTTGTCAATATCCATCTTCACAGCAGACTTAGTGCCCCATTGCCACCTTACTTCCGTGCTGCTGCTGCCACCCTGGGGCTGACAGTCGGAGCCCCTCTTCCTCCAGGAGAGGGATTGGGGTGGGGGAGAGCTCAAGCCTGGACTGCCTCCTGTTGAGGGATTGCGGCAGGGGGGAAGGAAAGCCCGAACCTGGGTGGTGGGGCTCTGGCTGTCAGCCCTGGGGTGGCAGGGCTCAGATTATCCCCTTTATCCCCACCTCCCAGGTGTGTATGGCCCTTCTGTATGAGCTCCAGCCACCCGCGGCTGACAGCCAGCGCTCTAAAGCACACAGCTCGTGCCTCCCGTGACACATTCCCACACCTCTCTTGGGAACCGCTGCTCTAGCTGATGGAGAAGCATTTATAATGTTCTGTATGGACTTATGTACAATGAGTGGGATCACTGTGCGACCAGTTCATGAGCTTCAAGGTAGGGGTGGAGGGCTGTAAAACATGGGCTCCCCATGTTCAGGAGTTCTGACAAGTACATAAAAGACTTTGGGATCGGGGCGGAGACAACTGTCAGTTGTGGTAACATCTCAATCTTGAAGTCCTTGTGACACCTTAGAGACTAAAAAATTTATTTGGGCATAAGTTTTCGTGGGCTAGAACCCACTTCATCAGATGCATGCAAGAAAATGGGTTCTAGCCCACGAAAGTTTATGCCCAAATAAATTTGTTAATCTCTAAGGTGCCACAAGGATTCCTCATTGTTTTTGCTGATACAGACTAACACGGCTACCACTCTGAAAGCTATCTCAATCTTGGTATCTTTTGCGTCAGTCACTTAGCTTATAAAGAAATCAGAGGACCTATGCAGTTCAAAGCCTTGTATCAGTGCTTGCTATGTGCTATCCTACTTTCTTATCTTTGCATGCATGGATCCTGAAAGACTTGTTGCCAGCAACATGGGCTGTCTGTGCAGTTTATACATGCACGAAGATATTAATTAACTACTTGATCCTCTGTATAGGATGAAAACTGACACTCTGTAATGAAAGGGCTTATGGTAATGTAACTTTATATTGATGGTTACTGTCTCTCTTGGGAGTAGAAAGGGGGGTTGTTGTTTTTTTAACCTAAGAAGGCATAGATTCAGTCCTGCTCTAAGGAGATGCATTTTCCCTAGCCTTCATTTATACTAAATGAAATTGAACTCATTTATTTACACTAGAACTGAATCTGGCTCTTGCTGTACTATATTGCATGTTAGACATGAACAGAACATAAGCTGTAGGTCATAGTGGGTGGGTAGTCACTTTTTTGACTGTAGTGAAAAATGAGGCCCTTATAGACACCATTATTTGTGCCATTTTATCAGAGAAGATTGACATTGGGCGTGTCAGAATGGTAGAAAAACACATACTGACTTGAATGGAGTGATAATGTAAAAAGTAGCATTTCAAAGAATGTTCAAAATTACCATGTTGGTACCTTATGAGTGCTAATATTGCATTTGAGTTCACATGAAGGTATTTGTTTTGACCTGAATCCTGTATCACTCTAACAAAGGCATAAATGGAAAAATCTGTGCTATACCAATAATTAACAAATACCCCATACTCGCCAATTTTAAGCTTGGTCAGGTCCCTGGAGAGTAAATGTTCCTTTGACGCTGCTCCTGCATGCCCTGCTGAAGATGATCAGTACTTTGTCACTTCTGATAAATGTGAGTTAGTGGGAATGTGACTTTATAAACAACACTTATCTCTCAACTAACATTAGCACTCAAATTTTACCTGTCAGGAACTCGAATCATCTATGCCATCACAGATATTTTGTGTCAGACTCATTGGCACTACTCACCAATTGTAATTCAGTCTCCAATTTCCAGTTCAGAACTAATCTATGTAGACATGGGATTTGCCGGACTGGATTAGACCATTGGTTTAGCAAATTTAATATCTTGCCTTCCGCAGTGATGCATTAGAGGAAGATAAGTTCACTTCTCCTTTTACTAAATAAAGAACCTTGCAAGATGGAAATTTCTGTGAGAGCAAAAATGGCTTCCTGAAATATATAGCAGTGTGTTTGAGCCATGAGACACGATTCATATTATTACAGCCATGTTTTCTTAAAATTTTGTTTGGTCATGAAATTATCCAACCCTTTAAAAAAATCCAGCCACTAATAAAGTATCTTTACTCTGTGGGGCAAAATATTATAATTTTAGTAAGTGGCATTGTTTTATTAAAAGTTTCTACTGCAACAGTTCTAACTGGACAATTGGAATCATTGCCTCCAGAGGAAAATGGCATAAGACGGTCATGCTGTTTTATGAAACTCCACCTAGTGGGCTCTTTCTCACTGTTAACTGTATCATTTATTTCTTTAGTTTTCGTCATCTCATGGCTATAGTTGAAATGCACAACAATGTGCAATGAGTTTCTCTAGAATGCTGCATGCTATTTCACAACGTAACATATTAAACTACTTAAAATACTTCATGAGTGATATCACATGCCTGTGGTGGGGTGTAAATTACTGCACTGCAGTGAGGGCATGGTGAATGCTAATTCATTGTGTTTTGTCTTGCTCAGGAGTTAAACTGAAGGACAGCAGTACTTCCTCCGTTGCTAAAAGCACTCCCACTCCCTGTGCTCCTTGGCTAGTTAAGGGGGAGGGATCCTTGTCAAGTAAACCTTGCATTACGACAACATTCGATTTGTCTATGCACTTTGAGGACTAGATTTAAGTTAGTTTATTTTCTATCATTGTGCAAAAGGCTAGGCAAAGATATTTTGTGCCTAGGTATGTCAATTTTCATTACAACGTTGCACAGCTGAACTTAAAGCAGGTTATCCTCTCCTTTTGTAAGAATGTTTGGGATCCTGCAGAATTTCTTATTTTGGCTTTGGTATAGTACAGAGAAAACTAGGGTCATTACTTTTTTCCTGCCATTGTCAATTTCAGTGTCTTAACTAACACAGATACTGCTCTTAAGGACTTAGAATCCCTTAAAATCAATTCTTACCCAGGCAAAACTCCCATTGAAGCTAATGCCTGAATAAAGGTTAGATTATTACAAAGAACTTGACCTTTTCTGAAGAATCTTGAAAAATTATTCACTTTTTTCTTAACAGCCTTGGACTGGCTGTCAAAAAGTGCATAAAACATATTGGGCACCAACTCGCTGGCTGCAGGACTTCTGGTTAGGGATAAAAACTGGAAATGCCCCATCATATTTTTTTTTCACTTTGGTCAATACTGCTAACTGAAAATATTCTGGAATAAATACTCTGACTAGAGGCATATCTCTGGGCAAGGTGCAGTCCATCTGTACCCTTGACTCCTAAGAGATGCTCTTGTGCTGGCTAAAGCATCAATCAGCAAATCCACTCTCCTACAGATTAAAAATCAGAGAGGGCAAGTGCTGTAGAATATCAGTATTAGGTAAATGGTGCAGGAGATGGGGAAGGGAGCTGCTCTTCTACAGAGCTTGGGAATAGGGGGTTGGGGAGGATGGAGCCTCTCTTGGAGGGCTTGGAAGCTGAACAAGAGAGCTTCTGGAGATGAAGGGGGAGACATCTCTCCCTGCCCAGGACAGTAGCTGGAAACCCTCTACTGATGGCAAGTAAGATAAATCTTCTGGCTACTGACCTGCTGGCTAGCTTGTGGAAGCGAGTCTAAAGGAATTAATTCCCTTGGAACATGCCATTATCAACCATGCAAAAATAACTGAATGAATAGCTCCATATGATCACACTTCCCATTTTCTTTCACAGTACTATCTCAATAACTCTCACAAGTGCATTGCTTTCAGATGTTTTTAGATTTGGCTCTAGGAAATGTGATCTGACTTGCTCTTCATAGCCTTCAGGTTCTTGCCCATGTTCTGTTTATTTCTAAATCTCATTTGTTCACTGCATCTCCTTGTGCTCTTTTGGATCCCTAAAACTTGCATCTTCATTAGTTATTGTAATGAGTTTGTCTGCCACTTTCTACACATAGAAAGTAATTTAATTTTCTGCACGTACTTAGAGCAAGGCAAGGGGTTTTTTCTCATTATTCATTGCTAACCTGTGAGGTTTGTGAAAATCTACAAAAAGGGCAAATGTTTAATTCCCCCTAGCCACACAAAAATTCTTGAGCTGCCATTTAGATAGCTGACTCTGATCTCAAACATTCCCCCCTGGCTATGCTATTTTTCATTTTGTTACTTAAGCCTGGAGCTTAGTGAACATTGCTTAGTCACCATTAGAAGTTTTTCTCTGTAGTCTCTGATACTTACCTGTTTGTTCCCCCTAACACATTTTTATATTGGTTACTTTGCAGGACTTGCTGGACAGTACCTACCCACATACCTTATTATCACTGTTCCACCTCTGGGATCTTTCATGGTGAACAACTCAGTGTTAAACCAACCATTTTCACTTCATACTTTTTCTCATAATGGAGATTTTAGTTATTTCCAACTGGTGGCTCAATCTCCAGTGCTTATTTGGACTTTGAAGTCTGCAAAATTAATCTGTAAAACTCATGTAACTTTCAGTTTAAGGACATTAAATTGGCATTTCTCACTTATGATATTTTGGCACTTCTGTTTTCTGCCTAGTTAGAGAACCAGAAATTCACAAAGTTTTAAATAGTTTAACCATCTGAACAATCCAAAAAGGCTTTGTTTGGGTTCAGTTTTTTTGGGTGTGAAAGAGTCGTTCTTTAAACCAAAATGGTCCACCTATCCAGAGTTTTTGGTTTTTTTTTAGGAGTACTCAAATGGAAACTGGTAAACTATAAGATCTTTGGGGGCAGGCATGCCCTTAATATGTGATTGTACAGCACCTAGCCCAAATGTAATAAAAGTAGTAATATTGTTCTCTTTGGTGTTTCATCCAATGAACTCAGTTCCATAGAGTGAAAGATAAACTTTCCAACAGTATGTTCTGCTTTTCCAGGTCATGCAAGGCCTTGAGGAGAGGAGGATGTACTGTATGGTCCAATGAAAGAGCATGGCCAGTTCCAGCGGTAGTACTTTTTGTTCATTATTCCCTCTGTTTGTTGAGTTTGGCAGCCTCCGGTGTGTTGTCTCTTCTCTTCTCTTTTTTGGCTCCACCAGATTTGTTGGAAGAATCTGGCTTGCCAGCAGCTTTGAGATTTTTGATGTGCCATCTGCTCTTCTGTGGAACACAAGCTAGCGTGTCTGGAAGGATGACATTAGAAACTGCTGAAAGGACAAAATGTGATACTGGCCCCAGGGAACCAAATGCTGTCAGGAGATCAGACTCCCCATTTGCCACACACAGAAGCGGATTGAGATAGGCTAACCTTGAAGTTATGCTCCCTGATGAATAAGGCATTGGGATAGTTAAATCTTTCCCAGTGTCTGAAACCTCAGCAGAGGGTGAGTCATTGCCTGGCAGGCATGCTGCAGCAATATAACCAAGATAAGCCAGTTGTTGAGGCATGGAATTATGGAGATGCCTTCCTTCCTAAGGGCTGCTTCTGTCACCTTTGCAAAGGAATGGGGAACTGAAGCCAGAATGAAAGAAATTACTTGAACTAAAAGTGAATGCACAACTCACTATTAATCTGAGAAACTTCTGATGAGAGGGTGCTTGAAACCTGACTGTTCTTGGTCCTGGTATGACTTGGTTTTGACTTGGGGATTTATGAAACAGCTATTAGTGGAACTTCAACTGGCTGGGTCTGTACTTGTGGCCTGTGGATTTTGGCTTATGGCAATGTGAAGCCAAAGTGGGGAGAGCTTTTTGTCTCCATAACGTCTTTAAGAGTGGAATACAGGATACTACCAAATACTCTGTACCTTCAAGGAAAGGTCTGAAAGCCTCCACTAGTCTCCTTTTCAGAGATGAATCCATAAGCCTTTGCATATCACAATGGAGGAACGCAAGACACTGGCTCCTAGGCAGATGAAATCCTCAGTCATGTCATTAAGAGTGTTTATGGCTTAAAAAAAGAATAGTCTCTTGTAGTCTGGTTTCAAAAGAATTGTGCACACTGTTTTGTTGGCCTGGGTTTTGGAGAACACCAGAAATAAAGTGCATAGATCACTACTAGGGCTCTCTAATTTTAAGGTGTGCTTATGTGCCACTCTGCCCTGAATCCAGAGGGATCTTCGGGGAAATAAGGAAGAACTTGCTTTCCTCTGTACTGCACACTGGAGTGGGGGAACCTAAGCTTTCATAGCACAGGATCGTTGGTATCTGGACTCCACAATTAAAGCCGAACAGCAAGCCAGTATACATCTGCTTTCTGCCATTTATCAGCCTAACTTGAGAGAAACATCAAGGGCACAATAGGGGAGGAGAGGGAGGGAGAAAAAGAGAACAAGAGCAAGACTACCATCTAGGGGAAAGGGTCAATTTCAGTAAGGCCTTGGCTACACTTGCAAGTTACAGCGCTGTAAAGCCTCCCCCAGCGCTGTAACTCACTCCCCGTCCACACTGGCAGGGCACTTGCAGCGCTGTATCTCCCTGGATACACCGCTGCAGGTACTCCACATCTCCGAGAGGAATAACAGCTGCAGCGGAGTGGCTACAACTCACAGGTGTGAATGTAAATGCTTGCAGCGCTGTACTAATCACCTTGTCAAGTGGACAGTCCTCTCCATTGTTGTGACCGGCTGCAGGAATGCGGAAGTGCCGCTTTCAAAGCTCCTACCACAGAGAAAAGCAAACAATTTGCAGCTTGCTTTGAGTGAGTAAATGAATGCGCAGGGGCCAGGGGTTCAGAACTTGCAAAATAGAGAGCTGACATGCTCCAAAAAGTGCTGTCTCTCCCCCCCACACTCCCTGTCACAATCCACCCCATCCCCCCATTTTGAAAAGCACGTTGCAGCCACATGAATGCTGGGATAGCTGCCCATAATGCACTGCTCCCAACACAGCTGCAAATGTTACAAGTGTGGCCACACCACTGTGCTGGTAGCTGTCAGTGTGGACAGACTGCAGCGCTTTTCTCTACTCAGCTGTACGAAGACAGGTTTACCTCACAGCACTGTACAGCTGCAAGTGTAGCCAAGGCCTAAATAACTATACCCATAGGCATTCCTTTTTACCAGTATAACTTCGGGAAAGGTAAGGGGTTGCACCAATTTAACTAAACCTATATATGTAAATAATTCAGAAATGGTATAGACAAGCCCTTGGTCTCAGAGCAGATAAAGACTTTTTCTCAACTGGGTGATGTAAGTGAAGGAAGAGGGCCCTGTTCACCCAGTAATGAAGATCTGAAAAAAACATGGTGTCAACAATGTAATGAAATGAATAACTGTTGCTTGAGAGTTCAAGGAGACGAGCACAATGGACTATCGGTGGAGTTATTTCAATAAGCCATCTGCAACTTATTTCCTTGTATTCATTTACATAGTGTAATGCTAGGTATGCTTTGGAGGATTCTGCTTTTCTGTTCTTGCTAAAGCTGTTTCCTTTGTGCATAATGAACAGCATTAAATCACACTGGCCTGATGGGCTTGAGCTAGAAGATAATATATTCATGTTTTACCAGAGAGGCCTGTCTTTAAAGTACTTTGGACTGTGCACTGCTTAAAGGAGTATAATTCATCATTTGCAGTAATACAGCTTTGTATAACAATATGCAAAAAATAAAATACCCGTAGCATGGTTTTGCAGCATAAGGCTGAAATCCTCGGTTAGTGCACACAGTACAGCAGTCTATGTTGGCATTGTATTTCAAATTGCTCCCTCCCTACATGTCCCATGAGACGTGTTTTTCTTACCAATATAGTCCAATCATGAATTGTGTTGGGTCTTCCCTAATAGCTGGCTGCATGAAATGACTTGATTAGCTGTTTTGTGTGCAACATGCTGACTGAACATTTGTATGAATGGTGCACATTAAGGCCCTAATTCTACAGCCTGTACTTATATTGAGTAGCACTTACAAATGTAGCCAATTTAATTCAATAGAACTTTGAGTAAGCGCTACTACAATCAAATGCTGAAGTAGTACTCTGACTATGCCCCTTCAAACATACTTCTGTACTATCAGTAAAGGATAATCTTTGTATTTCACCTTGGTAAGAATTTTTCAACAGGGACTTTTTGAATGGAAAACACAATTTCTGCAACGTCAAGACTTTTTCCTGTAAGAAAATTTCAATTTTCCTGAAATTTTTTCATTTTACATTGGTAAAAATCAACAAAATATTTCAGTTTGTTGAAATGTCCCTAAATGTTCAGGTCAGTTCAACATTAGATTGTGTGTCTCTGCTGCCTCAATGCTTCATGGGAGTTGTAGCTTGCGTGTCCCATGCTCCTGTTCTCTCATATGAATCAGGCTGTCTGGCCAGACTACAAATGCCATGATGCAACATTCTGCACTCTGACCAGAGTGTACTGCATCACGGGAGTCGTGTTGTTGCAGTTGTATTATGAGATGTCTCACCTGGCAGCACAGCAGAGGAGAATGGGGCTATGAGGTGCCTGAACTGCTACTACCATGAGGCAATGCTGCACCATGAGGAGATGCAGTTTAATGTTAAATTGCTTTGAAACGAAATGTTTTGGCATTGCTGAATCCAAAGGTAGTTTGTTTTTTTTCCAGAGCTTTAGGTTTTGTGAAATTTCAATATTTCAGCTTCTCATCCCAACTTGAGACAAATGTTAAAATATTGGAATTTCCCCCAGGATAGAAATTCTGATTTGTGTTTTAAGCTATACTTAGTATACCCAATGCCCTTTTGATAATCTTTTCTGTGGGTGATAGTATTATTTCTTTTAGACTGAATCCGGGGCGGGGGAGGGAAGGATTTGATCAAATTATTGACACTGTCTACTTTTGGTACATCACAATTCTCCCTATCAGTATTCTTTAGGTGTATAGTGTTACATGTTGTACATCACACAGCTGTCAGAAAAGGAAGAAATAACTTTCTTGTATCCCACTGACGTTAATGGAAACTTTGCCTGTGTAACAACTTCAGAATCAGGCTGAAAGTGAGGAAAAATAAGATCAACTGTATTTTCAGTCATCACACAAACATTTTGCAATCATGGTAAATTATTCCCACTGGAAGAGGAAGTATGGTCCAATCCAGTGGTCACAGTGCTAGCTTGGGACTCTGGGGACCAACATTCAATTCCCTGCTCTGCCACAAACTTTACCACTTGATGCTGGGGAAGTCACTTAGCTTCTTGATGCCTCAGTACCTCTTAAGTAAAATGGGGATAATAGTACTTTCCCCTACCTCACAGGTAGAAATCCATTGGTGTCCATGTATAGTTGGACTTAAATGTCTTTTAGTCAAAATGAAGTGATGTTCTTTACATAAATTACTTGAATGGAATCATTCTTCAATTATCCCAACTCCTTTTTATATTAATTAATTCAGTTAACCATCAATTCATTCACATAGCCTTAAGAAAATAAAGGGTGATCATAGTCAAACCTCAGCTAAATTAGATTTTGCTAGTAACTCAAAGAGCAAAGGGTTTAAAACACCAAATAGTGCTGAGGAGAGAAAAGCCTGTAAATAGAATCTAAACTATTTATACAACTACTTATAACTTCCAGAATGGTGCATGTGCTATCCTAATTATTCTTGGTTCTCATTGATCTTTACTTAAATTTGTGATCCTCTTTTAGGTACTTTCCTACTACAATAAGGTTCTCTTCTTCCCAACTTCACCCTGGCTATTGTTCTCACACTAGAAAAGCCAGTACAGCTTAATCTAAACAGCTAAAATTCTCCAGCAGATGTAGCTCTTATCAAAACATTTTTCAGTGTGTGTTTTATATCACTGGAGTTTCAGGATTTCTGAGGAAGCTGGGTGACTTTACTCTGTATGATCATACCCAGAAGTGACTGCATTTCAGTGGTGGTGAAGTGCCGTGGGATCTTCATGAGAGACAATGCTACATAAAAGTAAAACATGACTGCATTTAGCATGTAAAATTAACCCTTTAAAGGGCCTTTTGAGAGACAGCATTAAACTTGTGCATGTTGTAAAAGTTTATCGAGAAAAGTATGATGGTTGTTGCCATACAGTAGGTACCATTACAGTGTTCATGGTGCTACCTCAAGTATAGCACTTGTAGTTACAATTCTGTCTTCCTGTATTAGGAAGAGGAGAGCACAATACTACAATCATTGCAGAGTGGCAAATGTGAAATTTATAATGATGTGTAAGTGCTTAAGTACTTTGAATACCCACCATTATGTACATAGATACCACGTGTGTGCATCTGACCTTCTTTTCAGAGGACTGTTTGTAATGAAAACAAACAATAACAGCAGAGATGCTTAATGATAATCAAAAGTTTATCGTTTGGAAATGTTTGCCAGTTTGGAAATTATTGCCTTCAGCTGTGAAAATAGCAGGCTTTTCCTGTGAAGAAGAAAAACCTGTCACTTTTAAAACAAATATCAGTTATGTTTTTCAAATACACCTCTAACTCGATATAACACGACCTGATATAACACGAATTCGGATATAACGCAGTAAAGCAGTGCTCCAGAGGGGCGGGGCTGCACACTCCGGCGGATCTAGGGTGACCAGATGTCCCGATTTTATAGGGACAGTCCTGATTTTTGGGTCTTTTTCTTATATAGGCTCCTATTAACCCCCACACCCGTCCCGATTTTTCATACTTGCTGTCTGGTCACCCTGGGCGGATCAAAGCAAGTTCGATATAACACGGTTTCACCTATAACGTGGTAAGATTTTTTGGCTCCCGAGGACAGTGTTATATCGAGGTAGAGGTGTATTGAAAAAGAGTGACTTTGTTTTAAGATCACACTTGGTTCTATAAATGTTACTTGCAACAGGGATGAATTATTTCATTATATCAAGTAAAAGAAAGAGTGGTTAAAAATGGCATTTCAGTGTTAATGTTAATATTGAGCTGCACTGAGATCTCTTCGTGTGACTTTTGCACAAAGAAAGTGCAAGCCTACAAGTGAGAGACTTGGTTTGGTTTATATGAGCTGCCTGGACTTTGGAAATTGATTCACATTCAGAATGTGATTGCTGCACTAGAAGACAGTCCACCATTAACTGTTATACCAGGATTGATTAACCCCAGTATTTCCTGGCTGATGTGATATGCTCAGTCATTGCTGCTGGTATAGTCTTGAGGAGATTGCTTCTAAGGAACTATGTTTCTCTGAATGAGATGTTTTGAAACATTGAAGATAAAGGGGCCTTTTGATGGGACTCCACCTTTTCATTCCTTTCCTTACAAAACGCTTTGGGGTTTGTTCATGGTACCTTTGTCAACATTACATGACCTGCCTGTGACAGGTATTGCAATCCCCTGCAATATCTTTGGGAACGATATTGTATTAAGTTATGTTTCACTGTAGGCTAAGGATTGCATGCAACTCCTGGGGAGAGGGTCACCACAGCTTCTCCAGAAATCAAAAAACAGTTAGAGGCGATTAAGGCAAATCACCCAGGTTGTAACACATCCAGAGGGGAGCTCACATATACTTGTTCAACTGGATTTCCAGACACCATCAA